CCCATACATTTAGAACTTACAATTAACTGTTTAGATGCCTACCCTTTAAGTTTTTTAATTAGTTTAAAATTTTTATACTTCGAATGTGCCATTAAATTTTTTTACTTTGTAGTCTAGGCTGACCTAGAACTCAGCATGCAGCCCAGGCTGCGTGGAACTCATGGCACTCTGCCTGCCCTGTTAAGTGCTGGGATTACAGGGGTCAGCTACCAAGACTAGCTTGGTTGTGCAAATCTTATGTAGAGCCTAATGAGTTTTATGTATCTATATGCCTGTCATTTAACCATCTTCTGGAACAAGATACGGAACATTCCTAGGATCCCAGCAGGGTTTAGCCTGCCCTTTCCCAGGACACACCATGTCCAAAGAAAGTCCTCTTGCTACTCTGGTCATCTTCTTATGTTTGTCTATAAGATAATACAGGTAGATGGATTGACCTCTAAAACCATTGCCCCTTTAGGTCTATGCAAGAGCTACTTTCTACTTATCCTGTCATCGAATCAGCATAGGGTGTTTTACCAGGACTCAGCTACACTCCTTTTGTTGAAGATCTACTGCTGATATCCTGGCCTATTCAAATGCAGTCTGGAAGCAGAACCAAAGTTCTATGTCCAGGGTATTGTGTTAGGTGATACTGGAGATCTAAAGGCTCTTGCCATGGGAAAAACAGACACAAAAACCATCCTATCAGCAACAAGTGTGAGGTACAAAGTCAGCTAAAGAACAACTGACAAGAGATCCATCATGATGAGCTGATGCGGAAGAGTTCAAGGAACAAAACTTGAATAAGCCTTTACTTTTTTTTCTCATTCATGGCTATGGCTATGAGATAGTTGTAAGAGAACCAGGCACAAGTCAACCCAAATGTAACCAAGATTCTTACTATATGGCCAGGTTCAGAAAAACTCAGATGTTTCTTATCCTTCATTCTTGTTCAAATTTTAGAAAATGTTAAACTGGCTGAATCTTTCCATGTTATTTTAATCACATTTTTAATACTTTCCTTCCTGAGTCCTTTCTCTACAACATTTGCATCTGTATTAGTCAATTGAAAGTCTAATTCCGACAAGTTTCAGGCCTTCCTGGAAATTTGGGTGTACTGTGCTCAAATTTTGTCATGTTAGATGACAAGATTACAGTGGTATTAATAAATTCCTGTAAAACTCTGATAACTGCATCTATACTGGGCAACCAAAATTTGAGCGCTGATTTTGGATCTCTATTTCAACTCTACAGTGCCTTGGAGTCTGTCCGATTCAGCTGAAAACTAAGGGTAAAGTCTTAATCATATAGATTTGCTTTCTTCTAACCTCCCTTTCTAACCAACTGTACATTTTTTCTTGGGGTTTAAGGACGGGTGCAGTGCCAATTTTTGGATTAAATTAAAACACAGGTGAGCTCATTTATCATAAAACTCTATAAAAATAGTAAGAATGCTCATTTGTAAAGATGAGGAAATTGAGGCACAAAGGATAAAAAAAACCTCCACATGTCCTCCTCCTCTCCCCCCACCTTCCCCTTTTCCTCCCCCCTCTTCCTCTTCCCTCCCTTCCCACTCCCTCTCTTTTTTTCTTCTCCTTAATGAGGCAGGATAGGAAGACAGGGGAAACTAAGGGAACACCAAAAAGGAAAGGAGCCCCTAACTCCTCTGGCTCAGTCCCACTCCATTTTCTTAAAGTCTGAGAGCCAAGAATTTTGACACAACTAAGCAAACTGTTGTAAAATCACATGTAAAAAGAATTACACTCTTTCCTAAGGAACATCTCAAACAAGATGATTAAAATAGCAAATGAGTCATGCTCAGGTCAAAACATGTCTTATTAACCTTATCAGCATTCTCTTCTCATCCATAAAACTGAGCAATGCACTTCATAAAACAGTGTACACTCTTGTTTATAGAAGGAAATTCTTTTCAAAAAGAGGAAAAAGTAAATCAGTTCACTGTTTTAAGCTTTATTTATTCTTTAAACTCAAGAGATATATATTACATCCTTTGAACAATGTAGCTTCAAAAGCCACAAAAATCACACATAGCTCCTGTTAAGAAACTTAAGTGCACATCTTTCCTAATGCCTGCACTTTCCATTTTGAGTGTGCATTTTTGTTAGGAAACTCCATCTTTGCTTTATACTGACTTGTCTTCAAATTCTTTTCTGTAGCATAAATCAGAATCCCAGGTGTACCTGGGTCTCAGAACTCCTCAGACTGCACAGCTTGTAACATGAAGCTGCAACTCCTGTTACTTGGTGGCAGTGGCACTCCAAAAGCATTTGTATCACTGCATCACATTATATGCTATCCAAATACAACAATTAAAACTATTTGCAGATAGTCTTCCTACTTAACAGAGAAGTAGAGGCACATAGCACTCAGAGAACTTTCCTTGAATTCTGAAGTAATTTAGTGGTGTATGCCAGACCCTGGTTTCTTCCCTACTCTCCATAGTCCCATGACTCAGTCATGGTTTCCTCAGACTTTATGCTTAAGTGGAATTAGAAGGATGAACAGACCTACCTTATAAATCAGTTCTAGGCTAGGAAAAGTATGTCAAGAATCTTACTAGTAAATAAATCAACATTAACAAAATGAACATGCTACCTACCGTTTTAATTGAAGCTGTTGTATTAGCATGACAGTACCTGTGGAATGGTCAAAATGAAGAAATCCACCTTTCACTTCTTTTTCAACATCAAGGTCCTCAACTAGAAAACCTGACAACCAGGCTTCAACTTGACAGAAAACAGATGACCTCTTTTATTACTTCTAATAGATTCAGGTGCTCCATTAGCAGAGGCTCTTGCTCTGAACTGTGTTAGGATTATAAAATAGGAAAAGTGAACCAAGCCAATGATGAAGGTTTACAAGTACTATAAACAGGGCATGCTGGCTCTAACATGACAAACTGGATCACAGCTACCAAAGCACTGTAGGCAATATAAGTAAAAACATTCAAGCTGGCAATGCAGGTCCGTGGTGAAGTGCTTACCTACAGTGTGCAAGGCTTTAAGGTCAATTCCAGTACCACACACGCTTCAAAATCGGCAGCTAAGAAAATGCCTCTCTCTATATTTACAGGATTTACATTCATTGTAAATTCCTTTAGAAAATAAATCATTTTTTAAATCTTTTTATCTGTGTGCCTGTGCATTCATGTGTGAATGCATATGTGTGTGATACAACATATGTGTGAAGATCGAAGGCCAACCTAGAGTGGTCTTTGCTTTCCACCTGATTTGAGACAGGGTCTCTTGTTTTATTCCACTGCCCCGTGAGTTTCTAGGAATTCACCTGCCTCCACCTTCCACAGCACTCATAGGAGTGCTGGAATTACAGGCACATGCTACTGTACCCAGCTTTTACATGGATTCTGGGGATTAGAAATCAGGTCCTCACTTGCCTGGTAAGCACTTTCACACACCGAGCCATCTCCTTAGTCCTCAAAAGTGATCTATAGTCCTTCCCATTTCTGTTAAGGCATCACATGCTGTGGGTCAACCTATAAAAACTTTCAAGTTGCTGAAATTCCAAGCAGTTTGCTATCTTATATCGCACTTGCCATTTGTGCACAATTCTGATCATTTCTATTTTCTAACACAGTAGTAACCAGAGAGGAAGAATTCCTTAGGCATTCTGAACCTCTTCCTGTGAGACACTGATGACATACAATAATGGCATCAACTCTGTTTCATTCCTACTTAAGACACCAAAATGGCACATAGGACACTGGTATTCAGCAGCCAGTACTTAAGATTTAATGGTGGAAGGCATTCTGACATACAAAGTTCTTTGCCACTTAAGTCTCGATTTCTCAATCTGTGAAATGGGGATTAAAAGGCTTTTCGGGGTTATTTAATAACAATGTATACAAAGTACCAGTAGAAACAAAAGGCCAAAAATGAAAGCAAAATTTCCCCACTTTCACCATCTGGCCATTTGAAGCCTGCCTCCTAATGGCAAATGACAGCTTACACAGACATCAGGAGTTTAACCCGGAATGACCCATGGCCCTTTATACAATTAGCCAATCTCAAGAAAAACAACATATACTGTAAAATTTACTACTCAGTAATACAAGATGTCTGCCTGTTCACTCAGATATGAACCCCACATGAACGTCCCACAAGACCAAATAATTTTGCTATTATAAAAGAACTTCCGCATACACCTTTAGTCCCCAGGTCCCTGCGCTGATTTGCAGTGTATTTCAATAAATTCTTTGTTCAGGCTTTGGAACATTCTTTACCTACCAGCAGCCTTCCATACTGCATTTCACACAGCAGCACTGGCTCATTTTATGGGCTCCTTGACAGGTATCTGGAGGGTTACTAGAGGCCTCCAAGTACTTAATTCCCATGCCACCTTGTGACTCTTGACAATTCCTCTGGTAGCAAAGTTATGGTTAAAATTCTAGCTTCAAATTTGCTACCCAAAAGATTACTAGGTATGAAGAAACGGTGAGAAATGGAAAAACGCACATTTGTGGTTTTTTTTCCCCTTGGAAACAGGGTGGGTGGGTCTCACTAAACAGGCCAGGGAGATCTGGATCTCGTCATCCTGTTGCCTCAGCCTCCTAAGCACTGGGCACACAGCTAACAATCACACTCAGTTATGGCGGAGCTTTAATGTTCACTGTGGCACATGCAGGAAACCCTTCTCCTTCCTCTCCTCCAGTCTAAGAGGTGACAGAGTCAGTCCCTGGGAATTGGGCTGAGAGGGCCTGAGGCTGCTCTCAGAGCACGAGGGCTGCCCCCAAAGACCTTTGTTTAAATGATTTTCTAAAGAAACTTGTGTTTCTCTGCAGTCGTTCTATTTCTGTAGCTCCCACATGGGCTTAATGAGGATAAGGAACGTCAGACACAGCTCTTACTAGGAAAAGGGGGAAGAGGAATTGGTATGTGAATTTTAATGGTTTTAGGTCAGCTATACTGGGGATGGTCAGGGTGATATGAACAAAACAGGACAAGATGAAAACACTTAAGAGCTGAATGCTATACACATAGTGTACTTTAAAAATGTTTTTATTGAATATTAATCCATTACAAGTACTCTAAGTTAGACATTAAGCCAAAGCACAGTTACAGGTTAAATATAATCACAGAGATGTTTTTAAATAGAAACCCACCATATATGCTGGTTAAGTTCCTCGACGGACGCCCTTGTTTAAAAGTAGAAAGTGAGAGAAAAAAAGGTCTTCCATTCCAGATGAACAATACAAAGACTAGAAGAATCTACATGCTGTGAGTCTCTTTCCATGAGCGCACTGCTGAGGCAGCCAGATTTAGAAAAACAAAACAAAGCAAAAGTCTAGGATGTTCAGTTGAAACCTGAATTTCAGATAACTAATGAACATTTAAAAAAAAAAACCCACACACAGATATGTCAGATATTGCATGAAATAGAATTAGGTTAAAAACCTGTCTGAAATTCAAATCTAACTGGGCATCTTGTATTTTGCCTGAAAATCCTACAGTTAGACAAAAGAAAGGGGCGGGGCTGGAACCCCTGGCACTGGTGGGTACACAGAGACTGAAAATAAAAACATCAACAGCAAAGCAAAGACCACCACTACACTGGTTATTTACACAGACTAACACCACAATAAGAAAATACAATTACTATTCCAAATGCTGTTGCCAGGAAACATTCTAAATTTCCTCAAAGCTTTTCATAAATATTTTTGAGACACCTTGTTAATCAAAGTACCTTTTTAGTTTTGCAGTATCAAAGACAAAATATTACCACCACAAAGATGAGATGAGCTTAGAATGACGGGAGCAGAAGCAGGTACTATATGCACGTGAAGTTAAGTGTTATGTGTAATGTTATATGGTCAAGGTTGCCTCCTAGGCCTAGGCTCCTAGCCGCAAAGATTTCAGTTCCTTTTCTTCTCTTTTACTGTAACATTTTTCTAGCTTTTCTTCTTGAACATTGGGAAAGGAGTAGGGATACTGCATTACCAAATTTGAACTAATAAAAGGCATTCAGGGTTGACTGAGGAAAAGGGTAGACAGACAACAAAATCAGAAATCTAGAAGATGAGAGAAAACTCTCTGAAAGGATGGTGGAAGGGTGGTGTAGAGATGTGAAGTGTAAAGCAGAAAAGAGGGGATGAAAGAATGAAGAGTCAAAATGCTATCATCTCTATGGTGTGAGTGTATCTCAAAGGAGCTTCACAGAACTCTGGCAGAAGTATAAAATTGGCCACACCACAACCACATGTGGTCTTAAGAGTATACAAAATCTTCAGCTTCCTATAGGTTCTCAGTTTAATGTATCATAGTATATACTTCAAAATTATTAAAAAACAGCTTACACATCATTCAGACTCTATAGGGTACCATATACTGTATATTCCCACATACACAGGTTAACAAATAGGCTTTCAAGTCATCCCAGCATTTCTCCAAACCAGAAGAACAGCTGAGGAATTTCACATGGAGAAATTGAATTGACTGGTCATGTCAGCTCCACTCTTTGTGAGGGACTATTACTTATAAAATATACCCTCATAAAAACACTGACCAAGTATGAAATACATAGAGACATCCCACTCATTGACACCTTTCAAACACTAAGAAATGGAAATATGTTTCATTGCTAGAATATAAAAGATTAAAAAGTTTCTGCCACGGTTAAGAAAAACTTAGTTGTCTATTACTTGCAGAATGCACAAACTGCCTGAAAAAGCCTCACTTTTTAGGGTATTTTTAAACTGAATTTCTTTTTCATATGCTAGATGTAGCTAATAGCTCAGACATCACTTTCATAATTACTGTTATTTCTTTGTCATCGTTTTGACATCAAACAAACTTAACAACAGTCTAAATTTCTGACACATGAAACCCTATTTTGTCAGTTTTGAGTATTTGCTGAATGACTGTAAAGCCTATAGCTCTATGCAAGATAATTAGCCTAACATGAAACATAGTAAAAACTATTTATCATAATAGCACATAAATGAGATTGGTGCACTGGAAAAAGGTGCTTAAAATATACCTTTCTTTTCACAAGGCCATTTATAGGAACCCAAACAATGTGTGTTTAAAAAGACAGAGGGGGCAATGTCTAGTTACCCTTCATGCAACAGGGAATAAACTGAAATAGAGGGAAAATCTAGGAAACTTACTGCAATGTAATGCTCTTTTCCAGCATTACCCAAATGTTATACCTAGGATAATAAAATGTTAATGTATGTTTATTTACTTGCCATTTTCAAGCATTTCTCTATATGTTCCAAATGTACGTTGCTATTTTGAAAGTAAGAGAAATTAGTTCCGTCAGTAACATCAAGCTCAAAGAACATGGATGCTTTCCTTTTCTGAGAACAGATTAATACTGTTAATTATATTTATCTTCCTTGAAGTTTCTGGTTGTACTGCTATTATTTTGCATGGGATTAAAATTCTGGATTTCATGCTGCCATTTGTTAACAAACTGGCAGAATCTTTTGAGCAGAGAGTACATGGAACCTAGACCCAGTACTGGTTGTAATACGAAAATGGACAGCTATCCAGATTCCTCCTGTAACAGCCAAGATGAAGAAAGGAGGAAGGTGAGCAAGGCCAAATACTGGAGCTGTTTCTAACTCTAGACTGGCCATCTGGGGAAAGACAAAGAAGCACAAGGAGAGGTGTCCAGAGTACTATGCCTGAGTTAGTAGCCCGCTAACCCAAATCTGGTAAACTGGAACTATCAGGTCTAGAAAAGCCCTTGGAAATGAAGCTGGGAGAGAACTTGCTTTCTCTCTGCCATTCTGTTTGGGAAGCTGGGGAATCACAAACCGGTCAGTATTTCTAAATAATGCACATCCAAGACAGACTGCATGAAATACCATGCTTTTATATTCCAGAGGGCTCTTCACATTTCTATACAAGGAAATTCCAAATATAATCACCTTTTGCTAGCTTGAATACACTCATGATGACCTCTGGTTTTCAAGTTTTGAAAGTATCTATTTGGCTGCTGTGTTATATCCATTAACCACTTTTTAAACAGATAATATACGCACAATAGATGTCAAGAACAATAGATACTTGAAACAGGACCACAAGCACTGCAAATGTCCTCCTTATACTTACTCAGCACACAGAACACCAGACATACAGCATTGATGGTTTAATAGTGAACCACAATTTAACTTCTCAAGTGTAAGGCCAAGGTTAAGGCTGGCACATCCATTTATCTAGCTAATATGATGGAAATGACACAATGTACAACCACAGTGGAGTAATGGTTTCTCTTTTTAATGATGCTGTAGTTTTCCTTAACTATACCATATTAACTCTTTTACTTAATAAAAAAAAAATCACAGCTCTTTAGCATTTTAAGCTAATGCAGGGGTGCGGACAAGAAATACACACTCCATAGCTAGTAAAACTACACAGATGGCGATTCCTTCAACCTTGCTCCACACAATGAGAGGAAGGGAAGGAGAAGAAAAGCCCTCCGAACCAATGACCAATCTTTCTATTGATTCTAGTTGCTACTAGATGCAGCCAAAGACACAATCACCCAGCTTGGGCGATTGAAACTTCAACAGAATTGAAAACTGAGGCTAATTCTTAATTTAATTTTGAAGATCATGTAAGATTGAGTTACAAAATTCAAACTAATCTAGATGCCTAGTTCTAGCATTCAAGTCAAGCTGACAAATAAAAAAATTAAAAATAAAAAAAGGAGAAATGTGTATTTTGAGGGCCCAAGAAAAAAAAGGAGGTCACAGTTTAATAAGTTTGCATTTAAAAAAACCCAACAAAACAAAAGTAGTCTTCAGGACTTTAAGTTGAAATGGCAGGTGTGTCACACTGTTTTCCTTTCTACATTGACATGACTTTTGCTTCAAAGCAGAGTAGACGCAGAGCATGCCAATGAAATAAAATAATTCAGCATTCAGTCCAGGTGAACAGGGCAAGTGCAAGAACTGTAACGTTTCATTCTTTATTAGTGCCAATGTGTACTTGGCAAATGTTGATTAAAACAAGCAGTACATTCACAAAGAAAACTGTATGGTATTTCTCTATCAGCGTCATTAAAAAAATAAGTGAAAGGGGCTTTGGTTTCAACTTTTGTTTTATTTGTCTAAATATATTAAGAAGTTTGAAGAAATGGTTCAAAAATTCAGTGCAGGGATCTTTACAAACTATTTGAAGCATACTACTCAAAATAAATTCTATATCTTGGGTAAACAAAAAAGTTCTAGCATTTGTTTATTACACAGGGTTTGAATCCTAGCTTTCTAAGAGAACAGACTAATAATTTGGGGACCCTAGTGAAGTAAAATTGTTCCACTGACTTTGGAAATAAGGCAGCTAGTTTTAGGGGTGACAATTCTGGTGGTTGAGATTAAGTGAAGCATTATGAGGCATCCCCAGGCCTGCCTTGGCTGCAGTACCAAGCCATGTGCTCCTCACCCTCCTTAGTGGGCACCTCCTTTGCAGCTCTGCTAGTCATTTCCCTAGGGAAAGGAGGCCACACCACCTCCCGCAGACATGCTCCTATTGGTGCTCTTCTGGCATTTGTAGCAGGGTGTACACAGCCCGCAGAACTGGAAAAGCAAGTGGCTCAACCCGACTCTGAGTTTTTAGGTCAAAGAGACATTTACACTCTTCCTTGTAAGATGGGCCAATTTATAAAAGGAAACTAAAACTTGATGCTTTTCCTGTACATCACAATTCATGTCCACGAGAAGCACAGATCCAAAATCGCACAGCAGAGCAGCGGAAGGGGTGCCCTGATCAGCCAGAGGCTCAGGCTGCACTGTTAGCGATTTAGTCAGTGTGACTTTGTGCAAAATATCCAGGAAGGCTCAGGCTCATTTTCAAAGTAGTACATGAAACATCAATATTGCGTGTTTGGAAAATTAAAAATGAACCTGTCATATGCATCTATCTGCTACACAAGTGCCAAACACAACAAAAAAAATGTAGTGTGTGAACCAAGAACATCTGAACGAATACTGGTTGTTTTTTCCCATTTTTAAGTCTCAAGCAAAGAATTTTGCTTTAGAAATGGGTAATTCCAATGAAAATGAGCCTGAGACGCTGCTCAAAGGCAGCCCTGTAAACGCTCCCTCAAAGGGGGCAAGTAGCAGTTGAGTATGTGTCAGTTACTCGTACTGTCTTCACCACTACGGCAATGCTTTATAAAAGACAAACAGCTTATTTCTAACTGTTGGGGATTTATAGAATATTGACTTTTCTGTTGGAAACAATCCACTTATAATCCAGTCCCAGGTTTGACTCTGATCTGGCCTTTCCCAGTGGGCATTCACTAGGTCTTCTGCTCTGCAGCTGTTGCGGTCTGTGAAGGAGCTTCTGGCTTCATGATCTGGTAGGTGATGAGATACTCTGGGTATGCCTGCAAAGGACAAGAAGGCAGACAAGTGATCCTTCTGAAGGTGCAGCAGCACAGCCTTACTTACTTCAGCCTCAGAGGTTAATGATTCCACCCAGTATCCTACATGGGTCACAGAGCCAGGAAATCCAATCCAGAAATGGGTGTGTGACCAATGGGGGAGGTCTATCCACTCATTTGTACATAAACAAATGTAGGATTTGTATAAATCCTACAATATAGAAAATCATTTGTATTGAGTATCTACTTCAAATTCATTTTATTGTCTTCAGTGCTAGGGATGGAAGCCAGGACTTTTACCACTGAGTTACAGCCTGAGCCTCTTGAGCAAGATGAGTAAGATGAGATATGCTGAGGCACCAAAAACTTACAGGCAATAATTTGGGGATGGTGTCTGTTTATTTGAGAAAGGGTCTCATGTAGCCCACTCTTGCCTCAAACTCCCTTTATAGCCAGTCTTGTGCTCCTGATCTTCCTACAACTGTCCCTGCCTCCTAAGTGCTGAGAGTCACCAGGCCGAGCTAGGGTCACTTTCTAATAGCTGACGAATTACATCACCTTTGACAGGAAAGACAATGGTACAGAATCAGACTTTCCTTTCTCACTATTCTTTCTTTTTTTGGTCTTTTTGAGACAGGGTCTTCCTGTAGCCCCAGCTGGCCTGGAACTCACTACTCACTATGTAGTCCAGGCTGGCCTTGAACTCACTGAGATCCGCATGCCTATGCCTCCCAAGTGCTGGGATTAAAGGTGTGTGCCACCACACCCAGCCCCTTCCTCACTATTCTTTATCACTAACCCTACTTCCTTACAGTTAGAGAGGCCCAAAGTTCAGTAACTGGAATGAAAAAAGCATTAAAACATTTTTTTTGTTGAATTTTTGTGTATTTCATATAGAACATCTCAATCAATTTTAATCATCTTTAATAACCCCTTCCTCACTGGCACCCTTCCATAGCTCTCCCCCTCACCCCCAGAATTCATACACTCTGTCATTTGTGTTAAGGCCTATTGTGTCAAGTTAGTGTTCCCAGATGCTCCTCAGTGCAAGTTCATCCATTGGAGTCTAGTCAGCATCTCTAGAGTTCCTTCCTTTAAGGTGGTCAGATCTTCCTCACCCAGCAGAAAGCAGCTGCCAATAATTCTTGGACTAAGATTGGGGTCTGCTGCCCATTTTCCCAGTTCTATGCTTAGTTTTTGTCTGCTTAAGTTTGCCTGGGTATTGTGCATGCTGACACTACTGCTGTAGGTTCATATATGCAAGGTCTCAGGAGCTTGTTAAGACTGTTTCCATATGGCCATGCGCCTTCTCCCTGGCTCTTACAATCTTTCTGCCCCCTCTTCTGCAATGGTCCCTGAGCCCTGGGTAGGTAGCTTAATATAGGAGTCCTGTCCAAGGATCTGTATTCTACAGACTTCCCAGATCTTGATGGGAAGGGTCTTGGAGGGCTACTGACCAGAGGAAGCAGCTTCAGATTGTAAGCAGAAATCACTATAAAGACAGCAACTAGAAAGTGGCAAGGAAAAACTCCATGGTCTGTGGCCAGTGCATGAATTCTTCCACTCTAAATGATGACAAAATTAGACTCAGCAATCCAGCATGGATTTAGAAACTACTTGCATAGAACATGGAATAAGACACTAAAATGTATGAAAGGTAAGAAAAAACTGGATAGTTTGACATTTAAAATATAAAAAGTGGCAGATTTATAAATGGGAACAGCAATATTGGGATTTGGGGGGAGAACTAAATACAAAGGTTTTAGAATAGGTTTGAGACAACAAGAATCCAGTATGTGTTGGTTACTAATAACATTACTAAATGTAACATTAGTAATGTTAACATTATTAAATGTTAACATTACTATCATTCATTAGAGACTAGTGCTTTATAAGGTCTCAGGACTCTGTAAAACCAAAGTATGTGAACATGCTTTAAAAAGTCATAGCCATCTAGAGACATGTAAGGAACCAGTATCATTCATGATGTCCTTCTTCAAAATTCTAACTACCCTGGTCTGAGTCTAACTCACCATTGGTTTCCATCAGTAGCATCCCTAGCTAGAATGACCAAGGCTGATTAACTGCTCTAGTCTCTCGAGTCTGAGGCCTCAGTAACTGTTAGTTTGTAGTTTTCTTTTAATATACTTTTATACCACTTAGTTCTGCAAATGTTTTGAAAGTGGCATTTCAATTTTTAGGTACTAAAACAAGCTGGGTCAGATACTACTCATTTTAGAGTTGGGTAGAAAGAATATAGCAAAACTTAATATTTACTGGTAGAAAAAGATGTATCGATTAGATGGTTTAATGGTCAGGAATTATTTCTTCAGCAGTAACATACATGTATCAAGCCTTTACCATGTATGAAGCACTCTGGTGTGAAGTAGAGAGCTTGTTACCAATTTGCCTGCTATATATACAGTCTAGGGATATAAGCCAGAAAAGGAAAAGGAGTTTAAAAAAGTACTCACACTGGCATATGTTAAAATTGAGGGTAAAGCTCACTCCTGTTTCCTTTCAAGGTGGTGAAGCTATCTCCCATTCTTGGTGTAACACCTGTTTGCTTGCAACGTTACTTCAGTGGAGGCATCAGGAGAGCCAGAACTCAAAGTTGTGGTACATGATATTGAAAAGATTACTGACACATGTACGTTTTAGTCAGAAAGGTTCTGAGAGTCTAATGGCAGGAATTACTTCAAGTTTCTTATCTGAGTGCTCCTGGGGGCTACTGAATTGTTTCTGTACACAGTTGAGGACTGGTTTGAAAACTCTAGAAACTTTACTTTTATAAGTATATATTCCTCCATATAAACATTTTTATTATTTTTTCCAACCTTGGAGCCACAAGAAGTTGTTAGAATTAAATATACTGCTGCTGCTTTCTGACTCTCAAAGGTATAGGCCATGATCAGAGTCAAGATTCAATTCATGCAACCAGCCTATGACAAATAGATCCAGGAAGATCCATTCTAAGGCATGTTGTACCTCAAATGACTGTGTATTTAATATTTCATTAAAGGGCGGTCTTCAATTTTACGTGGCTCCCATATTCCAAAAGGATGTGTTTAGTACTTAGCATACTTACTTGAGGAATAACATACCTGTTCTCCTCTGTAGATGACATATTCAGCATACGCCAGCCCATTGACACTAGGTCTTCCAATAACTGAGTGATGTCCTGGAGGAGCATGGGCCATTTTCATGGTGCTAAATTGCAGAAATGATTTTCCAAGGGTCACTCTACAGAAAAGCATTTGTCTAAAGAAGAAAGGAAAGTAGTACTTTGAAGAATGCTTTAAATATAACTGTTAGGCCTTTTGGCTTTATTTTTTAAAGGAAATTAACACAAGGCAAGCTAATGTAAATGCTATTTTCAAATTTATGTGAGGTAATGTGACAGGATTTGATATATTGATTTACTACTTAACAATCATCAGGCTCAATCTCAATAGTTAAACCAATAGTTTAAAGTAGTTTTAGAATAGCTTAGGAATATATCATAGAAAATATCTGGTAGCAATTGTGCCAAGAGGAAAAAGATATACTAGAGAAAATTGAGTTTTCACATGAATGGACAGGAAGAACAAAGAAAATAATCATGAGAACAGCACCTGAAATTTGGGGTATGTACGCATGTACAACCTCAGGTTTTGGTCCTCACCTTCTACCTTGTTTGAGACAAGGTTTTGCTGCTGCTGCCTCTGTGTAAACAGGTTAGGTGGCCCATGAGCTTCGAGGGATTCTCCTGTCTTTGCTGTCTCTCTGGGATTATAAACAATGTACTTGGCTTTTACATGGGCCATGGAGGTTTAAACTCAGGACCTCCCACTGAGAGGCAAGAGCTTTTAACCCTTGAACCAGCTCCCCAGACAAGATTAGGTTTGACTTATTACAGGTAAAAAGTGAAAACCAGGATGATAGTAATAATAAAAGTGGATAACAAAAATATTTAACTTAAATATATGGCTGGAAATCATAAGAACTGGCTGAAATTGGGACAGATGCTAAATGTTCCAGTGAATAAGAAAAACTGGTTGGGAAGAAATTATAAACTATAGCCATGAACCAAATCTAGATGGCACTTGTTTTCAAGAATATAATTTTACAATAAAAGCCTTGCATTCATTTACATATAGCCTATGGTTGCTTTTGCACTCCAAGGGCAGCAATGAGTCTCTGACAAGGATCACATGGCCCTCAATGCTCAATATAAGTATTACCTATTCCTTCAAAGAAAAAGCCAACTGATAATTTCAACAATAAACATTTTAACTAATTAGTACTATTTATCATACTATTAAGTATAGCTTTTTTCAATCAACTAGTTTGGTTTTAGTAATGGCATATGATCTTTGTGTTATGATCAATCAGAAATATTATTCTGAATCAAGAAAACATACGCTGGACCTGCCATAACTAGTTCTGTCTATGGGATGCCACTGATGATCCTCTGGGGTCAAGGGTAGGCATCAACTGTATTTTCTTACAGGTCCTGGAAGGAACTAAGGATCTTGCTCTTGAACTCCACCTTGTCACTGTGGCAGTAGATCAGATCTGCTGTCATCAGATTCCGTGTTTTTCCTGTTGGTTATATGACACAACACCTGACCTGGCCAGTCTTAAGACTCCTGTTTTCTGCTTTTGGCCCCAGGGCTTCTCCGCTGGCTGGTTTGACAGGAGAAAATGCAGGACCTACCCAGTCAGTCCATGAAGCTGCTGGGGAGCAGGTACTGGTCCCAGTTTGCCTCATGTTTGTGGCATTATGCAGATGCAGCAACCAAATATAGGGATACTGGTATGGGGAATGGGGGACAAATGCTGGCCAACATGGCACAACAGCAGATAAATTCTTTCTTTTCTCCACTCATACATGACTATTCCATTACATAGTCTTTCCTATAGCTTCTCCGAGGTGTCTTATGGGCTGAGCAATCAACTGAACTTGTTAGAAACTGTGACGAGCCAGCTCATCAATGCTCATCACTACATGTGTTCTGCTTCCTTCACTTCACCTCCTTTTGTGCCTCTTTCCTGCTTCTGGGGGACTGTCCTTGCCAGTCAAGTAACAGTAGCATGCTTCTGCTTCAGGCTGTTTCCTAGAAGATCCTGGCTAAGACCTGAGCTTATGTGTCTGATTTTACTGAGTAATCATTAATCCTTATCTTGGCTCACTTTACTGCTTATTTTTTAAAGATTTTATTTATTATTTTTATGCTATGTGTATGAGTGTATTGTCTGCATGTATGTTAGTGCCCCCATGTGGTACAATGCCTGTGGAGGTCAGAAGCAGGTGTTGGATCCCCTGGATCTGGAGTTACGGATGGGAGTTAGCCACCATGTGGGTGATAGGAACGTGACCCGGGTCCTCTGGAAGAGCAGCCAGTGCTCTGAACTGCTGAGCCCCCTTTATTGCTTATTTTAGGTTTATTTTGTCTCCATAGGCTTATGTTTTGGCATTCTATAGATTCTTAGGAATTTCGCTGCTTTTAATTATAGAACTCCTGGGGCCGGAGGATGTGGAAGAATGCTATGAAATGCTATCTTTTGGACATGACACAACTATGGCACTCATTAACTCACAGCAGCAGTGGTCACCTATACAAGATCGAGCCAGTTAACATTCCAGTACAGACAGAAGGCCTCCTGAGGCTGTACCCCCTTGCTGAGGCGCTATTGGTGATTGATGGTTGCTGGGAAAGGAGGAGTCATTTTTTTATTGGGGGTATAGCTCTTGGTAAGTTGCCCATGTTCCAGTGGATGGCCCCACACATGCAGGTGGCACTAGCTGGACTCACTGGGTTATAAAAAACAAGAAAAGAGGTCATGAAGGTATGAGGAGGAAGTATTGGTGGGGTCTTAGGGGCGTGGAAAAAGGATATGGATTGGATATGATGAAGATAACATTGTATATGTGTATGAAACTATCAAAGAATAAATTTTAAATATTTTAAAACAAATATAACAAGTCCTAATCTTTGTAAAGTATAACTTCTGTATTGCTTTCCATTGGTTTGGGAAAGAAATACTATCTTTTTCTATTGATTTCAGAGGAAATATAGTATTTTCACTAACTTCTGAATTGTAAAATTCTAGTTTAAAAAGCTGATGCTATGGGGCTAGAGAGATGGCTCACTGTTTGAGAGCACTGGCTGCTCTTGCAGAGGACTCCAGTTCAAATCCTAGCATCCACATGGTGGCTAACAACAGTCTATAACTCCAGCTCCAAGGGATCTGACATCCTCTTCTGATTATTGTGGGCACTGCACAACACAGGTCCACTTACACACGTACAGACAATACACTGATACACATAAGATAAAAATAAATTAAAAATATTTTCTAAAAAAGCTGATGTGCATTTTTTTGCTATTAATTCCAAACTGCTATTCTAAAGCTGGACTTTCCAAGGGAAATTACCCATGCTACACTAATGTAAGCCATGTCACAAGCAACAGCAGGGATGCAAGCTCATTTCCAACTTTAACTTGGTTCAGATGTGACAATAGGTAGACTGCCTATGTTCCACAGCAATCATTCTTGGCTTCTTCTAGACCTGACTCTGAAGCAACTAAAACCCAGGGAGAAAGCAAGCCCAGACACAGATTCGCTACGACCCAGGGTTGGTGGACATGGATCTGTTTTGACCACTGGTGCCAGAACCTTAGTCACTGCTCTAGGCAGAGGCTCATGAGGAACTTCAACAGATGCTGAGAAATATATTAAGTTAGCCGAGGGTGGCATCATTGTACTCAAGGCAGGATGCTCACCTGTGACATATATAACACGACCTGTCTTTGTGTGTGGGACAGCCTGTTCCTCCTCCAATTCCGTAAACATATTGATTGCTTTTTGAGGAGTTTTCGGCAAAGTAAATTCCTGCTCCAAACATTCCTCCTATGTATGCATGTCGCTCATCAAATCCTTTGTGAATAATGGCATTAATGAAAGGAGAACCTAAAAATATAAAGGTAGAAAATTAGTCTTGGAACACTTTGTTAGAATCTCAATTAGCTGCACACTATTTTCACCAAATAGATCAATGTTCAAAAAAAAAAAAAATACTAGGTGACTCAACTTGGTCTTTAAGTTCTGAAACAATTTAGAAAATTGGAAAGCCAGTACCAACATACAACACATTAGGAAGCTAGCCATTATTTTAAAAAAGAGAAAACATGCCATTTTAACACAATATTATTTTAGTTAATATCAATGTGCTTTTCACTTTATTATTTTTTTTTTTTTGTCTTTTTGAGACAGGATCTCCCTGTAGCCCCAGTTGGCCTGGAACTCGCTGTGTAGACCAGGCTGGCCTGGATCTCACAGATCACAGAGATCCACCTGCCTCTGCCTCCCTAGTGCTAGGATTAAAGGCATGTGTCACCACCTCCAGCTCATGCCCTCAACGTCATCTACATTACCAGATGGCAGGCACTTACCGTGGAACAGCATGCGCTCATTGTGGTGGTTGTGATTTTCTTCAGATACTTCCTTTTGTCTGTGACAGAATCGTTCCCTCAGCTTCTTGTTGACAACTTTCTGAATCTTCATAAAGGATGAAGAAACAAGCAGTTATTAGTTATTAGTTATTGCTGGTTTAAAATGACAACTATATTTTCCCTTTGGTGATTTGATTTACATATTATCAGTATGCTAGCATTTACTGACACAACTTTTAGAGTCTTGCTATTCAGTATTTTATTGTTGTTCTGTGTGCATGCTCACTGTGTAGAGTCTCTCACTGAACCTGAAGCTTACAGCTGGTTTGACTAGCTGGCCAGCCTGCTCTTGGGATCTTCCTGTCTCCATCTTCCTGCACTGGGATTACAGGCATGCAATGCCATGCCTTGCTGTTTACATGAGTGCTGGGGATTGGAACTCAGGTCCTCATGTTTGGGCAGCAAGCACTTTATCCACTAAATCATTTCTCTAGCCTCTAGTGTCTCCCCCCATATGTAAATATAACTTCCTGGGTTATTTTGATGTATACCAGGATAATTCCATTAAGTCTGCTAATGAAGAGGATTAAACCATTTCTCAACAGATTTTATTCATCCTCATGCTACCATTCTGAAAAAAAACGTGACAGCTATCTATTTTCAACTGAGATTAAGATATGTATGTATATATTCTAGGTTCATCAATGACTTCAGTAGTTTGACAATCTGGGCCTTCAATGCTACTTTCAAATGATTAAAAAAAAAAAATACTGCTATGAAGGGTCCAAATCTAAGGATGTGCTGGGAGAGACCCACATTCACACTTGTGCCACCAACAGCAGCTGATTTCTGATTTAGCCATCTGTTTGGGGCTGTACTATCAACTGCTAGCCAAGGGTGGTCTTAGGGTTAGAGGTTATAGTGAGAAAACATTTGATTTCAGGACAACAAATTTCTACAGTTTTTTTCCATTGTTGAGATTTTATTTTTGCATTAGCTCTGCAATCTACTTTTTACCATGAATACTTGCAAACTTACTCGAATAACATTGTATCTGTTGAAGATACCACCAGCATTACCACCATCTCTGTGTTCTCGAATAGTACTCTGCATCTACAGAACAAAAGAAAATAATTAACCTTATGAAAATACAACAGTGTCCAATCATAGGCTTTTCCTCCGCCATCTTCAGAACATTCAGATTCTAGCTGGTCTCATCACTGGTGAGTCTGAAGCTCAAAGCAAACAGAAGCTCACTGCAAAATAGCCACCAAATATAATGAATGAGCATCTGTGCTGAGAAAACAGTCATAAATACTAAAGTATGCATTTTCTCATAAGTTTTAAAAAATATTTTATTTTTATTTTATGTGTATGAGTGTATTGCCTGCACTTATGTAAGTACACCTGTGTTGTACAATGCCCACAGAGGTCAGAAGAGGGCGTCAGATCCCCTGAAACTGGAGCTATGGATGGTTGGTAGCCACCAGGTGGGTGCTGGGAATGGAACCCAGGTCCTCTGCAAGAGCAGCCTTCTCTCCAGCTCCTCTGATAAAACTTTGAGGGATTTTTTTTTTTTTTTTTTGTAAATACAATGAAGCAACAACAAAAAAAATCACTTTAAATAATTTATAATTACTTTTATGTTATCATAAATAAAAGGCAATTCTGTAATGAAGTCACTAAAATGGTATTCAATCGATACCACATTAGATAAAAGCTAAAAATACATCTTTGTTTCACAGGTGAACTGTTCTGTTTTATCTCAATAGTCTTTGGGATCCTGATGCATATCAACCCAGGGAAGTAGAATATAATGTACAGTTAAAAAGAATAACTTTCTTCTGACCACTGTTAATTCTTCTTCTAATCCTAAATTAAAAATAATTATTATGGAAAAGAAAAAGGTTTTAAAGACTTAGGTTTCTTAGACTATGGTTAGAGCACTTGCCTAGAAGGTACAAGGCTTTGGATATCAAGACTTAGTCTCACAGAAATGACCCAAGTTTCCAACAGAATTGATTCACAGAATGAATTTTCTATTCACTGCTCCATTTGGGAGAATATGAGCTACATATTTTACAATGCCAGAATTTACTACTGGCATAAGCTAAATGTGAGCAAAAGTACTGCTATGGGGTAATGATCTTGAATCACCAATATGACTTCCTAGCGCCTGAATGGAGATAACATGGGCATTAAAAAGGAAGGAACAGGGGTTGGGATTTAGCTCAGTGGTAGAGCGCTTGCCTAGCAAGCGCAAGGCTCTGGGTTCAGTCCTCAGCTCTGGGAAAAAAAAAAAGGAAGGAAGGAAGGAAGGAAGGAAGGAAGGAAGGAAGGCAGGCAGGCAGGCGGGGGAGTTAGTTTAGTGGTTAATAGTACTTACTGCTCTTCTAGAGGACCTGAGTTAAGGTCCCAGCACCCACATTGGGCTGCTCACAGCTGCCTATAACTTAGCTGCCTATAACTCTAGCTCCAGGGGAAGCCAACACCTTCCCCTGGCCTCCTTAGACACCTACATGCACATGCAGCACACATGCATACACACATGCATGCATACACATACGCACATGCACATACACACAGACACATATACACATAAAATAAAAATAAAACAAACCTTAAAAAAATTAAAAATCGACAACTAACCCTTAAATGTAGGCATATCTGCTTCTGCTTAGGTATTTGCAGAGTGATGGAATCAGGCAGCTTACTTACAAAATTGGAGTCAGACACTGTATTAGGGGCAGTAAGTAAGGTACAAGCCATCAGTAGAGGGGAATTTCTACACTACCTTTCTACCAAGGGGTTCATACAAACGGTCTTTGAAAGAATTATGTAATCAGCTTCAGAAGCATATACGAAATCAGGCACGTTACTATACACTCACACTACATAAAAAATAAAGACTAGAATGTATTTTCTACCTATGAGGTAGGCTTCTCATAAGAAAATAGTTCTAATAGGATTGTCACTTGCATGAGTTTCAAGGAAGTTTCCAGAACAAAAAGATGGAGCTACCCTACATATTAGATGTCCTAGGCTTGTGGTATGAAACCAATGTGGTTTAATATATAATCATATTTTAATATTTGATAGTGGCTAAGTGAGTCTAAGTAACAGGCAAATAATCCTAGGATAGTATAAAATAAGTTTATATCTTCTGGAAAAACAGGCTTCTACTAGGATTCAGGAAAGAAAATTAAAGCTCTTTTTGATGTCCATTACCTCTTCTTCTACTGACTGATATTCTTTATCTTCTGGAGCAAGATCTAGCAAAATAGTTCCCTGATTCACACAGTGAAAAGTCAAATAAGGATTGGTTCCTGTAAGAGAGAAAAATTAACATATAAAGCACAAGTCCATACTACCCAAGCTCTATTCAATTTTGGGAAAACTTAATCATAAAAATTGGCATTTTGGAATGAGCCTAATCTAATCTATTTTCAATTTCAACCTCAAAGATGAGTTATGTTAAATATACCAAAGGCAAAAGAAGAAATGATGGTGTTAAGGGATTTATCTGTTCTCAAAGAACTCCTTATATACAGCAGGGCTCAGCAACATTTGCTTAACTGAATTCAGTCATGAGCATAGCTGATGATAGGTCTGACACTAAAGAGAAACATACACTGAAATTATAATGTAGTCAGGTCTAAAATATAAACCCTCCTGGGATGGCCTGAAATGCTCAGACACAAGTTTTCCTTGTTAATCTCATGGGTTAACTATAATACTGTAAGCAAAGACTCAAGTTCAAAACTTTCTACCTTTCAGTTTCATGTTGTTTTTGCAATCCTATTGGCTTCACAGATTAATGCATTTCCTTCTTCTGTCTCACTTTCCTACATTGCAAGTACTTCTCACAAAGAGAGAAATGATAAACATGAAAGAGAAAGAAAAGAGGCTCCTAACAGGCCAAGGACAATAGGAATGACTGAGCTGAGGTCCTGAGGTGGGGAGAAAGGTTCCGGATGAGTTAAGAAAGAAAGGCAGATTATGAAAAGGCGTGTTCTAAGTGTCTGATTTTATCCTGAAAACATTAGGATTCTATTGAAAGGTTCTAGGCGTTAGGGTGATGGGATTACATACTCATTCTGGAGAGTCCTCTGGTGACTGTGGAGACACTGGAGGGAGGCAAAGGTGCAGGTTGGAGATAAGCCGGACAGTGGCTCTGATGTCCAGGACAGGGAATGGTGGCTTGAGTTAGGTGAAAGCAGTGGGAAAAGACAGAAGTACAGAGAGTCCAGAGAAAATTCAGGATATAAAGTGTAGGGAAAGGGAAGATTCTCAGACTCTTCCAGCTAGTGGAAGTATAAATTTAATAACTGAGATGAGGAAGGCAGGAGATACTGTTAACAGTTGCCTGCATGTGCTCTGGGCTCCGACTACCCAAGCTCAAATACCAACCCTGACACTGCTTCACTAACTGCTTGAAATAATTTTTCTGAATAGTTTACCTTGTTGTCCACCCAAAAGTCTTTCAACTCCTTTGATTAATTTGTGACGGTGTCCATATGCATTGATGCCTATTTCTTTCAACTCTTCATGACCCATATCGGCCAACACATCTAGTGTAATCTGAAAAAAAATAGACATCAAATCTTTAGCGCTCTTTGAGAATAAAAGCTCTTCCAACGTCTATAATGCTAGGGTTACCACACAAACTTGATAAACCTTTGTTTCCTTTATAAGCATGACCCTTAAAGTTGTCTTAATATCAGTTTACTTGAAAAACTCTTTAATTTGTTTCAAGTCAATCGAGAATTAAAAAGGGAGACACAGTATGATGGAAAGTCAGATGGGCATTGTCATAGCTCTTTCTAACCGTGAGATTCTATCATCTTCTGCATGCCTCAGATAGGAGGAATCAGCAGCTTGGAAATGGGAACAGGCAGGAGAATGAATGACCGAAGGACAGAAGTGTTTGGTATAAACACAATTGGGCAAAAGTAAGCAGTTTCAGGTAAGCAGACCTGAGCTAAGAAATAATTGAGCCAAAAGGCTGCCTTTAAAAGGTTGTCAGATTTAGATCTTAAGTATTAGTTTACATTGCAGATCATTTTATAGAGAAGCCACATTAGAAAGTCCAATATGGCCAGAAAAGAATTTTTATGTTCATAAATGCTCAGGCTTAATAATCCCTGCTGCCTTACACACAATCTATTTTTGTACAGAATAGTGGTCTTTAATTTTTCCTATTCATCCCAGATGGAGATAATTAGTTTGTTAATTCCCAACACCTTTGCATTTAGTTGGTTAGAATCTGGCACACTGAGATCTACAGTAATTATGTTCTACTACCACCCAGTGGCAGAGTTCAGCGCATGCAGGCTGCAATCACCAGCAGTCACACAGAGGAAGAGCCTGCAGTCTTCCAGTACAGAAGATGGCCCTGTGACAACCCAAACAGTCTGTAAGACTGGCCCTTGGTTTTCCCTTTGGAAAACTGGGCTGTCCTTTATATAGAGATTCTTTTTCTATCTTATATGAGAATTAAAAAAAACCTAAGCATAGACTTTTCTACCCTTATAGTTACATGTAATACTTAAACTGACAAATTAGGCCCAGAGCTCTGATTTTTCCTGTGAAAATGAAATATTACACAATGAGTTGGACTGTCTCAGTGCAATAAGCACACACTGCTCATTCTCTGAAGTAATTTACTGTATTACTGCTAAGTGGCCATTCAAGAAATAATTGTTTCATTGCACAAAATGGGCAATTCACTTCCAATCACCCAAGAGATATTTTCAATGAAGCTTAAAAAATAAACAAAAAACAAAAAAACAAACAGCAACTCTGAATTAGAAATTAGAACAGTTCAGAAAATAGGGGCCTTTACATTTTTAGGAAGATGTGATTTTAATGTAATTTGTGAACCATGTTATTTATATCTTTTTCTTCTAAATATTCTATAGTTTAAATAATTCTACAGTTTAAAGAAGGTCAACATAAAAACACTGCTTCATATACATCTTGTAACTTTAGTTTGTACACATGAAATATTTCTAATTTATATACATAGTGCATAGCTGAAGGATGTAAACCAGGTTAGAAGAAAGACAAAACACAGCAAGCAGACAAAACAAAACAACAACAACAAAAACAAAAACCAGTATTTCTGTGCTGGAGAGATGGATCAGTGGTTAAGAGCATTGACTGCTCTTGCAAAGGACCTAGGTTCGAATCTCAACACCCGCACAGCAGCTAACAACCATCTATATCACTCCAGTTCCAGGAGATCTGATACCCTCTTCTGACCTCCTTGGGCACTGCCTGACAAAGGTGTACTCACATGCATGCAGGCAATACACTAATATACATAAAATAATTGAAAAAACAGAAACAGTATTTCTAACCATATTCCAGAGAAGTGATGGAGAAAGTTCCCCAACAGAGAAACCTTGGAAAGTACCAGATTTAGTTTAGATAGCAGGGCTGAGAGCTGGTCTCCTATTTGGTGTGGAAAGCAGCCTCTAAAATGACTCCCAGAGATCCTTAGCTCCTAGCATTCGTGTCTCAATTAAAAGCCCCTTCCCTTGAGTGTAGGTTAGACTTACTGGCTCATTCCTAATGGGAAATATTTTTTTTTAATTTTTATTTAATTTTTTTTGTGTGCATACATGCATGTGCATGTGAATGTGCATGTGGAAGTCAGAAGACAACTTGTGTAGTTAGTTCTCCTTTTGTACCATGTGGGCTCTGGGGGTTAAACTCAACAGTCAGGTCTGGTGGCAAGCACCTACCCACTGAGCCAGGATATCACCTTTTACACCAGAGACTGTGGCTTTTGTCTTGGCCACTTACTCATGTAGACTGGACCCTTGCAGGGAGCTGCTACCACAATATGGTCAAAAGGCTCCAAGATTCCTACCTTCCTTATATTCATCATACCCTGCTGCCTTTAGTAAAATGCCACATTAGAGGTACCTACATGGTAAGGAACTGAGTCCTGCAACTAACCATGTGAACTTGGATGAGGATTCTTCTCTAGATGAGGCTTCAACATGAAATATCAGTCTTGGTTAATATTTAGAATGCAGCCCTGGGAGATATCTTGAAGCAAAAGATACAATTAAGCCATACACAGAACCCTGCTCTACAAAATCTACATTGGGTTATATATTACTAGGCTTTTGGTAACTGGTCAAGCAGCATAGATAATACAAATGTCATAAGGTCACCATCAGGACAGAACCATAGGTGAGGGGGCAAGGCCAGTCAACAATGTGAGTGAGCTTAGAAGGTGACCTCCATCTTTGCCAGCAGAATCTCCAGATGAGACTGAATACTTGGCTCATATCTACTACAACTTCATGAGACATTTCGTTAGAAGTACCCAACAAGTCATGATTGTATTCTTGACCAACAAGAATTATGACAGAATAACTGTTTGTTATTTTAAGCCACGAAGTTTTGGAGGACTTTTGGTTAAATATTAGAAGATAATGTATGTTATATTGATGATTATCTAACTTTTTTGCTTAGCGTCACATGAAAAGAATAAACAAGAAAATAAGCAACCAAAGAAAAAGAAAATATTTATTATGCTATACTGAAGGACAAAAGGGATCAAAAGATAACATTTGGAATCTGAAAACAAAAGGAATTGGCTCAATTTAATATACTATTTTGTTGCTGTCTTTTTGAGACAGGGTCTCCCTGTAGCCCCAGCTAGTTTGGAACTTGCTATGTAGACCGGGCTGGCCTTGAACTCATACAGATCCACTTGCCTCTGCCTCTCAAGTGCTGGGATTAAAGACATGTGCCACCACGCCCAACATTACACTTTTAACTATATATAAGTAGACATTATTGCAATTCCACCCGTATTTCTTGTTTGTACTCACTATATATCAAGCACAGCTCAAAGCACTTACTTTACTATATTATCTAGTTTAATCATCACAATGATGCATCAAAGTACTACTAATATTCTAATGAGGAAATTGAGGCTCAGAGATGCCCTAAAGATAGTTCAAGGAAGAGCCAAAAGGGCTGGGAACACAGCTGGATGGTAGGGTGCTGGGGGAGCATGCACAAAGCCCTAGGGTTGATTTCTGGTACTAAAGGTGGGGAAAAATGCAAGATGTTTAACATATAACATCTGCTTGAAAAAGTCACATGTTAGCTGGGATAGACTGCCAACCTTCGTTTCCCCTGTGTTCTATTTTCTAAACGAGAAGTCTAAAAGTAACTAAATATTAAATTCAGTTGCTTTCAGTTACATGTGTCTAATTTGTCTCCATATTTAGCAGGCAGTAGCCACTGGGAAACACTGGATTTATGCTCATTCATTCAAATGTCAAATGTTTGATGAGTACCCTCTATATGCAAAACATTTATATAAAAAACTAAATAAATTTCATTTAATTCTAAACCTACTGTAGTCCAGAAAATTCAAATCCTGGCAAGCGTAATTTGTTATAAAAGAGTGGGACCATGAAACAGCACTACTACAATGTTCATGCTATTTATTTGCAACAAGTAAACAGAAAAATACTGTGAGGATGGGTTCATATGCAGGGAATTCCTATGGGAATGCATGGGAAGGTTAGTGCTCTGTCAGAATTGCCAAGTAGGGCTGAGAAAGAACAGGAAGGGGGTCAAGGAGGCTCTTAGGAGGTAATAAATAATTCAGCTCAGAATGGACAGGTAGGGGAAATAGGGAAAGATATGTAAAAAAGGGGAACAATATGTACAAAGTGAAAACCAGGTAAGAATACAGAATGTTTAAGGGATTTAAAGTAATATACCTTTAAAGGGCTAGCGGTTAATGTGTATAAAGGAACAAGAAGAAAGGGCAGAGTAAGGGCAAAGAGCACGTTCAGTTATACTAAGGAAATCACAAGCTTGTTTTGCTAGTTATTTTCTTTGGACGGGACGGGGGGTATTTATATGCAGCATACATGAATATAAAATTATGAACTTTAGAATATAGTCCATAAATGTCACTTGTGGTAGAGTTGCCTCCTGCTTCTAAGATTTGCTCATTTTACCTGGGGTGTGAAGAGAAAACTAATTGTTTGAACTGAAAAGGCCTTTCTTACACTTGGGCTAAAAAACTTTGTATTTACAATATTTTTACACATTTATAATAAAGTCATTTGTGACTAAGCTTTCATTTTACAGGACTTTAATGAAAATCTATATAGTTGCTTTTAGTGAAAATATATGTTGACTATAAATATATCCAATGTGCTAAGTCATAGCAATTGAGTTCCAGAAATTAAAATATAAATTAAGTTTGTCTTCTTTTATAAAAAGTGTTCTAGGTAGGAAACGAGAGGTCAAAGTCACACATGCACATGCACGCACACACATGCACGCACACACACACACACACACACACACACACACACACACACACACACACAAGGGATTCTGATACATTTTGGAAGTACCTACATGGAGTGAGACAGTTTACAGACTTCTGAGGAAAGAACTGAGATGGTAGAGCTAGAACACAATACATGAAGAAGTTCTTCCAAGAGCAGAAATAACATAAGGCTATCTCACCTCACTGGGAAGAAGTGTTCAAGCATGGAGAACACAGGGTATTAGAGTCTCGGAAAACAGAATGGTTCCCTGGCTGCAGCTAATTCCTAAGACAGGAATTAACTGGGCACAATGCATGTACCCTCATGCTTGTGCATTATACAAGTATCTTGGCTATCACCACACATGACTGCAGAATGTTTATGGTAGAAAAGTTTAAAGGTATGCTATGGAAAGAGTAAAGGAACTTGCTACTTTATAATCAAAGGCTAGACAAACAAAATCTGCACTTGAAATGAACTTGATTGTCTGCCAAATGAGACAGAAGACAGTCAGTCAAACATAGTTCTGTGCAAAGAAAGTCATGCCTCAGTAACAGGTTATATACAGTAAGTGCAATAGTTAACACCTTGACCAAGAAAAGAGTACAGAAATTATTTTAGCCGAAAGAAAATCAATGGAACATTGATTTACTGAACAAAACTGCAGTGAAAAGGAATAAAATTGATGAAAACAGGATAAGTTGTCAGAAGGACGGACTGAGGGCTGAATCATTAAACTACTAAAGTCAATTAACATGAAAGAAATACACCATAGGAGGAGTTACTGACAAAGAGAATATACAATATACAAAAACAAACAAAGCCATAAATCATAATGCAAACTGACTGAAAGCATAGAAAATAAAGTTCTATGGAAAACTTTCTACAGTCAACTGGAGTGGTTTTAAGTGAAGATATGTTGGAAATTTCACAATTATTGTACTCATGATTTGGAATGGAGGGATACAGCTGTCAATGTGGCTAGAGCAGATAATGTTTCAAACAGCTTCAAAATCTTCATGTTTACAATAGTCTCATAGGACCCCTCTAGCCCAGAAGATGAATAAATGATAGGAAAAGGAAATTCTTATGAAGTCTACAACATGTTCATCAGGAAATGGAAGAAGCACGTGATGCCTCAGCAAAGCACGTTTTAAAAATGGCAAAAAAAGGGAGCAAAATTTAGTTGGGAATTTTTACTGTCACATTTGCAGGTGTATTTTACACAGAAGGAAAGCACAGGCTAAATGGCTTTTGGCCCACGTTTATAGTTATTAAGAGAAAATACTGAATCACAGAATTTATTTTGTTCAATTCTATTTCTATTCAACTGTTTGGGTCATTAAAGCACTAAAGATGAACTATAATAAATTTAAAGGAATTTTATTTACCTTAAAAAAGCATAAGAAGGCCAGGTGTGGTGGCATATGCCTTTAATTCCAGCATTTGGGAGGCTGAGGCAGGAGGCCAACTTGGTTTACATAGTGAGTTCCAGGACAGTTGGGGCTACAGGCAGACCCTGTCTCAAAAAGATGAAGACATAAGAAATTCTTAATAATACAGAGGATTTAAAAAAAAAAACTCTGAAACGATTCAATACAACCTAGGTTATCCTCAATTTGTTATGCTGCCCAGGCTGGCCTCAAATTTGTGATCCTTCTGCCTGCACCCCAAGTCCTGGGATTATAGCAGTGTACTTACATAACTGAGATTTTAAAAAATATTTTATTTATTATTTTCATTTAATGTGTATTTGTGTAATGCGTGTATGTAGGTAGATGCACCCATATTGTCCAATTCCCATGGAAGTCAGAAGAAGGCGCTGGATCCCCTGGAACTGGAGTTATTAACAGTTGTTAGTCACCATGTGGGTGCTAGAATTTGAACCCAGGTCTTCTGTAAGAACAGCCAGTGCTCTTATCTGCTGAACCATCTCTCCAGCCCTATACCTGAGATTTTTTAATTAATTAAAGGACTAACTCTAAGACTATACAGAAACCAGAACAGAGTAGAAGAACTTGGAAATGTAATTATGTCACATACTAAAAAACTACAGAAGTTTATCATAAATGGGGGAATATCTGTAGAGGTGGACAGTTGGAAAAGGTAAAGTCCACGGTGAACTGACCAGGTCTTTGGGATAGTTGATTTTAGTTTTAGCTTGTCACAAACTAAAATCACCTGAGTAGGACTCACCTGAGGAATTGTCCTGATAGCCTTAACTGCTGTGGGGAGACCCACCCCAATGTGAGCAGCACCTTCTGGAAGAAGCCCAGCTACAAAAGAAATGGCAAAAGGAAGAGCATTCTCCTGCTCTCTTGGATTCCCTCTTGCCACTGAGCTAAAGTGTCCTGTGGCTGCTGCTGCTTTCTTCACTGACATCAGATCCAGCATTTCCAAATTTCTGTTGCTTGGAAGGATTAGTAATGTTCCAGGAATTCTCCAGGTTTTCTAGGTCACACTGGACTGCCGAGGCATCCATCCAGCCATGTGGACTAAGCAGCTACTGGGTTGTGGGTCTCTCCAGTGTGAGACAGCCATGGTAGGGCTCCTCCAACTACTGATGTGTATGTACACGTACACACACACACACACACACACACACAGAGTTTCTTTTTTAAACCCTAATACAGCCTTGGTAAGAAAGCCTCTAAATATGCTGTTGGGGGCTTAGTGGTAGCTATCCAAAAGATAAGTTCTAAATCCCTAAAGCCTGTGAAATATTACCTTATTTGGAACAAGGGAGTGCCCAGATGCATATCTTGAAACTGAGAGATTTTCCAGAAGGACCTATATGTAATTTAAGTGTACCTTATAAGAGACATAGGAGAAGACAGAAGGCAGCAGAGTATAGTAATATGACCACAAGTCTAAGGCAGCTGGAAGGTTGGGGAACAGGTTTTTCTCTAGAATCTCTGTAAAGAATGCATCCCTGACAATTTGAGTTCAGTCTTCTGAGAGAACAAATTTCTGTTAAACTACACATCTGAAGCAATTTGCTGTTAGCTTTATGAAACAATATATGTGAGCCAAGAGAATAGACTTTGGTTTAAAACAGGGTTAAAAACAACAAACAGATTAAGCACAGGGGCAGACTGAGGAACACCTTTAAGTCACGAAATAAAGAGATTTGAAGAAGGCCATGATAAGCTGCTGGGGTCTTTAAAAGGTATGAAAGCTGTATTCTACACTTGCCCCGAAGGTAACAAGTTATCTTCTCTGCCTCAAAGGCTGCCATGGACGTTAAGGAAGTGAGTCCACACCTGGGAGTGTGATGCAACACCTCTCCATCTGAGATTCCATGTACCACAATAAAGGCAATCTCACAAAGTCTTATCATCATCCAGTATTACTGAGCATTGCAATGAAAGCGTGAGATAGTAAGAACTCAATATCCTGTATAAAAACAGTGTGGCAAACAGAAGTTTTAGTAAATACAATACTAATGAAATCAGACGCATAGATGCTAGGGCTTTTTGGAAACAAAATCTCCCCCCCCCAAAAAAAAAGTATTTTTTTGAAGCAGTTTCCTAATCTAAGTCTGGCAAGTGCTCTATCACTGAGCTATACCCTCAGTTCTCATGGTCTGACTTTTGACAGGTGACAAAATGTACAGCACAAGACTGCTTATAAAGAGAAAACAGCTGGGCATGGTAGCGCATGCCTTTAATCCCAGAGGCAGGAGGATCTCTGTGAGTTCGAGGCCAGCCTAGTCTACATAGTGAGTTCCAGACCAGCTGGGGCTACAGGGAGACCCTGTCTCAAAAAGACCAAAAAAA